AAGCCCGCGTGGCAAGAATTTCTCGTGACCGCAGGGCCTGCCGTTTATCTAAAACGCGCCGGTTCCAGAAACTAGGAAACGCGCGAAACGCGGAGATCGAAAGAGGAGGCAACAGCGAGGAGAAGAGGGTTCGGCTATTTTTAACGATTCCCGGGGCCCTCCCTTAGAGGGGGATCACGCGTATTAACATACAATAAGGATATAATTCTCCCCGGGATCCGCGGAACACAAGACACCGCGAGATACCCGCGCTATCCCACGGGAACAAAGGGGTACACCACTCCCTCTCCGCTACCGAATCCTGCTGGGCTAAGATTAGCGCCGCCAATACTGTTCCGAGGAATGTGACAAATTTGAATTCAAATCCGTGGTTCACGGTTTTCGTGTTGGGTCCATTTATAAATGAGACAATTCGCATCTAGTTTTCGATTAATCATCTTAATGATCGGGTGGGACATTCTTTATTTGCAACCATTTCCGTGCTCATTTTTTCTTAGTATATAATAGGGGCTATTTATGATTAATACCCATTTTGGTTTCAGGCCTATTTTTAATTATCCGGATTTCCGGACCCAATTTTAATAAATGAATCATATATTAAATAAATAAATATTTTTTAGTTGCGATAGAGGCACTTATTTTTAAATTCATGTAACAAAGTGATTAAGAATCACAGGTTCGACAATTAGTACTCGTAACTCGTAACTGAACGCAATTTAGTGTTCCAAGTATGAAAGCTTCCGTCAGACTTTGATAACAGGTCAATAACACCAATTGATAACAATTATGCGCTACCTCTTTCTCTGCCTCTGTTTCTGTGTTGGAGAGATAACAAGGGACTGGTACCTGGTCCTTATGTACAGCTGATCGTTTGTCAAAGCGGAAACAGAACGTAGTTGCCGTGAAAACCGTAACTTAGTTTATTTATTAATTAAATGACTGCAGAATAATTTGATTATTTATAAATTCAATCATACGAATTGAATTTCAGAAGTATCAATTTTTAATAAGTCTGCTTCTATTTCCTTATGTAGGAACGTTAAGTTACTGACTTTTAAGATTGGGAGACAGTCCGAGAAGTTTGGAAGTAGACCCAAACATTAGAAAACTATCCTAAAAACATATTTACTTAAACTTAGCTTTACTTATAGCTTGATATAAATTTTTTAAGGAAAATGAAATGCCAGGTGTGCTAAAGACAGTGGCAAGTGTCGGGAGGAGTACACTCGGCATTCCGGGCTGCCCACGGGGCCGACAGGTAGCCTGGTGGACCGGTTAACGCATAATCAAGACCAGCGTGGGCGGTTTTTTCCTTTCGAAAAAAATAACCGATTCTCCATTCCCTCTCAAACGTTTTATCGAACTGACCTCAATAAATATTGATAATAAAATTCAAGCTCGAATGCTGGCCTCGATAATTTAAAGTCGAGGTTATACTTTAGTATTGTATTTCTGCAATTCTAGTCGATAGAAATTAGTGGAAAAACTCAGAGACGTTAGCAAACTTAATAAAATCCAATGTGAAACACGAACCTCAGCAAAGTGCACTCCAAACTCGAACACTTCATCAGTGTATCACTAAACGCTCCGAAGTCACTAGTTAATGAAGAACATAATCACTGACCCCACCACGCATTCACAATAAAATCCCACCACAGACACTGTCATCGAACATCTTCACCATTGAAAAATAGTTAGTAAGCCATATGAAAATCCACAGTTTTCAATAATACATAAAATTAGTATTATTATTATTATTAATTTGTTCTTAATTTATTCCGATCATTATCGTTAAAAAAAAACACAAACACGTGTGAACTATTGAGAAAACGGGAAAATAGGAGCCGAAACAACACAACTGACAGTGGGTTCGACCGGCTAGCGACTGAAGCCGACAGCGAGAACGAGACTGCCGAGACGGCAATAACCCTGCTGCTCGGGGTTCTCGGTTCTGTGCTTCCCCTGCCAACCACTCAGTCCGCCCCACTTCCTCCTAGCAGCGGCCGTTCTACCACCACCTCCACCCAAGGATCTCATAATTTATCCCGCACGGCTCGCTTCCCCTCTTTTTCGCCCGTATTTCGATCCCCACTACTATTCTCCTCATGCGCTTTCGCTGACCATGCCCAGCATACCCCCATCAAGTACAAGTCCCCACCATGGTCGCGTCGTCCCCACTTTCCGGCCGAGGGATAAATTATGAGAACCTTGCCTCCACCAGGCGGTCGACCGTTGCTCTCCCGTACGTGCTGGGCGCCTCGAGTGACTCCAGCCGTGTCCCTTTTACTTGATGCCAGCCGTTTTTCTCGTTGTCACGACTAAACCGATTACCAACGAAATACTTGAACGGCTGAAACAATCGCTTTGTACTCGGAATAAGATTTACCATGTTGGGTTAGGTTAGGTTAGATTAAAGTTAGGTTGGTCATGTGAGAAATTGTTAGATCTGATCAAAATTTGAATTTGGTGATTTTTCTCTTTTCGTTTTTTGGTTTAATATTTTTTCGATTGAATCCCAAATTTTTAATACAAAATTACTAAATTATCGAAATGTAACTAGTTTCTAAGTATCGGGTATTTCTCACGCAGGTTCGATGCGTACTGAGGCGTGTACTAATTGATTGGCCACTGGCCAAGGCAGGGGGAGTGTCAATATGCGGTCAACGCGTTTTAAACGTGGTCATCTGTATTCGTTCTGTTTTGATTAATCATACTCTTTGACTGACCAATGGACTGACTGTTTAGTCGACTGACTGATGCACTGATGGACTGACTGATGGACTAACTGACCGATGAACTTACTGATCGATTGACCGATAGATTTACTGATCGACTGACCGGCGGATTTACTGATCGATTGACCGATGGGCTGATTGATCGATTGACTGATGGACTGACTGATGTAATGAAGTTGCTAATTCGAAGACTAACCCAGATGAGACCAAAGTTTGTCAATTTGCATCTAATTCAATTTCCACCGCCTGAGAACATTTTCACGTATATTCGCCACATAGTACCATATTCCTGATTTTTTTCAGAATCCCAAACCCACCGCATCTTGGGAAATAAAATTAATTAAATTCCGCAGATTACATCGTCGGTAACACTCGAAAATAAACGAATGGTGGGGGGAGGGGTTAGTTAAGGCCTGGGTGGCGAATCGATACGCGTTGCTAAAACAGAGCGAGGCTGAGAGCACAGTCCGTGGCGCAAGCAGGTCGTTGTACTCGCCTCGTCTTGTTCTTCGCCAAGTCACGTGCCTTTCTCTCCTGCTCCGTCCTTTCGGTTTCTCTCCGCGCCGGTGCTCTCTCCCTTGTCTCCCTATTCCCGGTACACCTTCCTCCCCCTCCTGTCCCCCATTGGATAATGGATGAGCAACGATATTTACATATTTTTCCATGTTCGTGCCACCGAGCGGCTAGGTCAGCCCGGCACTGACTAGCACGGGCCCTCGGCAACTCACTTGTATGTCCGAATTCGCACTCAAAACTTTCGAACACGATTTTCAATTTTAGTATTTAATTTCGGCACTTCCAGTCTATGGAGATTAATGACAAAACTCAGAGATGTATTACTAAATGAGTACTATAAGTGAGAATTTTGTCAGACTTCTACATTGTAAATTCAAGTAACAAAAAATTGGCGAAGTTTGAAATAGATTTTATTAATTTGGAATTACTGTGATAATTAATTTTTCCGATTCTAAGATGTCAAAAATTATGAAAAAAAAAATCAGAAATGTACTACTGTACTAGTAGTAAGTGTGAGAATTTTTTCAGGCTCTCCATGCAGAGTTTATATCAAATAAAAATTGACCTTTCGACGAATGCTCCGGCTGAGGTGAGGAACGAGAATTCTTGATGGTAGCGATTTTAAAAGCCAGGCGGTGCAAGGCGCGTAAACTTTCCTTTTGCGACAAGGCCGGGTGCCCGCAGACTTTTAATTACGACCCCTGGAACCCTTTTAATCCGTCGGCACGTGGAGCCCGGCGATAAGCTCAGGGGGAATGGAAAAAGAAGGGAAGTTCGTCCGCAAATTATGCGATTAAAAGTACTAACGGGTAGCTGAGCGCAAGCGAACGAGCTTTCCTCTCTGCCGTTGGGGCTCATCGATCAGAGTAACGATGGACTTCTTGCAGTAACAGTTACCCATCCGAGTGTTAATGAGCCTGAGAATTCCGAAGACCACGAAAATGTGAGAATTTGTCATACCTGTTAAATTCTTACGTAAGAATAATGGAATATCTGAAGAAATATGAGGGGTAGAAAACATGGTTGAAACACAAATTGTAGCATATCAGCGGGTACGTATTATGCCAGTATCCGCAAGACCTTGAAATGATCTTGGAACGAACTATAGGCATCAGGCTTAAATTTTAAACAGAAACCTTCTATTTATTATTATATATTCTTGTAGTACTCGTCCAAACATTTTCGAAGCACTACCGAAACGTATTTCTACTCTCCTGAATCGCGATGATTCAACACGTCGACGATTGTTCGGTTTCAAGCTGTACCACTTGAGATTCGATTGAAACCGCCGGAGGGGACCCTCAACTCCCATTCGCATCGCTAACAACCCTTGTGCTAGTGGTTTAAATATTGCAAACACGTGCCATCTTAAGAGAGGGTTAATCCGTTTTACTGAATCAAGTTTCAGGAGATCGTTAATTAAAATCCGGTTTGAGGTGCCAATTTCGGCGTGAAAATAGGCTCCACATGATGTTTTATGTTATAGTATCAGTGGGCCAATTTAATGGGTCTAATCAAGTTGTTCCTTGGGAATCAGCTGGCTCTCATTTATTTACAGACTGACTGACTGACTGACTGACTGATGAACTGACTGATAGATCGACTAATTGACGGACTGATGGACTGATTGATTGATGAACTGACTGCCTGACTGATTGATTAGCCGACTGATTGTTTGACTGACTGACTGAGTAAATAATTAATTTCTTGATCAGCTAACCACTTGACAAAACCGCACCAAGTACTCACCAATTCAGCAGCTACCGACTTGACCTCTTCCAGTAATGCAGCAGCAGGAGATAAATAACTCTTGAGGAAGCAATCCAAATTTCCATGATAAGCACAAACGAGGATATCCCTCGCCTGTCTAATCAGCAGATCGATGACACCGTCGCCATAAATGGGACCCAGAAGGCCCCTCACCAAAGTGGCCACGTCCCCTCGATTCTAAAACAAAACACCATATCCTTTTTTCAAGGTCATGCGATAATAACTGTTCCGGCGTGAAAATTGCGTCCCGCGTTCCCCGGAAACGGGAAAAGTGGGGACGGCAGAGTAACGGGTTCCCGCGCCTCCATATTGTTATGGAATCACCGCACGGGCACCGCGGATGCAGCGACGCGGGGACCCTCGCTATCGGCTGCGGGATCTCCCCTCTAACGACCGCGGCCGACGGTGAGAACAAACAAGGGGGAATAAATTGAATTTTATACCGGATACCCCACTGTCAATGAACTCGATGCGACCAGTTATTCATTATCGTTGCTTAGGGGGCAGGCTTAGCAATTTTTTCCAGCAATGGCCAAAGAAATGGTATATAATAGTCAATCATCGTTTAGGGATCAATTATGACTGAAGGAGTGGAGACACGAGGAAATTGTACATCATCGAATTGTTTGACGATTTACCTAAAAGATCCTATCTTCCAATTTCTTCGAAATAATCTCTCGTGCATAAACATCTTGTATCTATTTCACCTGGGAAAAATCCTACTTGTGTCTGCGGTTTGACAGAGGCACCGCTCCCATGCTCGGCGTACCCGTGTCAATGCTTGTCAAAACTAGACGGCAACGCGGCGCGGTCGGCGGCGTCGGTTCGGCTCTAAGGCGATTACCTTCCCTTTCGCGGCTCTCGGGCCACGGGTTTGTTAAGGGGCCCGTGTGCTAAGCGCCACAAAGGAGTCACAAAGGGTTATGGGAGCGACACACCCACCGGATGCATTTTATGCATTCGCTGCTAAGCGAGAAGTTGCGCTCGCTGCCTGACGTCATCCGCAGACACGGGCGATGCCGGTTACTCTCTGTGCCGCGGCGAAATCCGTGACCCGCGACCTCGGACAGATACCATTTTCATTTCCCATCGACGAGGTTTTCGATCGAAAACAAATCGAACGTTTATTCTTATGTGAATTTAATTAACGATTTTGTTTTTCACGTTGCTGTGAATGAAAAATTCTGAGAAAATTCAGAGACATACTACTACATAAGTGGTAAATGTAATAATTTCTTCAAATTTTTATAAAAAGAAAATTGAAGTAGAAAAAAATTCCCGGATTACGAATATCAATTTTAGCATTAATTCTCAGATGAATTTAATTAACGATTGTATTTTGCAACTTCCAATTGATTAAAAGTTCATAAAAAAATCAGAGATGCGCTACGTTACGTGCAGAAAATGTTGAACCGAGGGACAGGACACCTTTTAGCCGAGGAACGAGTCCGGATGTGGGCACATTGTATCTTAGTAGGGTTCGCAGAGGATCACATAAACCCGGCGATTTTAGTGTAGACATTACACGCGTGTACTTTACGCCCACGCGCTTCCGCCCTCATCCGAATCTCCTCTCGAGCCGCGCTTCGGCTTCTACTAACGTTCGTATCGAATTACCTGCCTTGTTCTTCAGATCGTTTACTCGAAAATCTTTTTGACGATTTGGCCATCGATGCGATTTAAATGACTTTTGGAGGATGTTTGAGATATAGGGATGACCTAAATTCACTGTAAGGACTGATGGATTGACGGATTAACTGATAGACTGACTAATCGGTGGACTGATTGAACTGATTGATGGACTGACCGATGGACTGACTGATGACTAATGTTAATATTACATTTACAAGATATATTTATTTATATAAAATTCGATTTCAATATAGAATTGCAAGCTTTATGAATTTTGTTCTCCAAAACTAGCTGCTTCATGGATTTAAATGACTTTTGGATGTTTTAGACACACTCCCTCTAATTGCATGAATTTTTTTAACTTCCAATTATCAATACTTTTCCTTCTACAATTATTTAGACGAAAAAGGAATTTCATTCCACTTTGCAGGAACTGCCAAGTGTTTTGAGTCTGATTGTGAGTTTAGCAACGAAGTATTTGTAAGTAGAGACACCTTGGCTACTTTCGCCGATATTTCCCCGTCTCATTAAGGCCTCGTTAAGGTAGCCAACCCACTAATTATCGAAAAATGTTCTCTCAATGGTCCACTCGTTAATTAAACTAGGAAAATCCTTCGGAAGCCGTCCTATCGTTACACAATGGGCCAGATATCCATCAATGCCTGGCGCCCGACGCAGCGGACCACCGGAATGCCACCTAAGGAGAGAGTCGACGATGGAAACATGCATTAATCAATGGAAACTTTGTTTCTTAACTCCAACCGAAACTTCAAGTTTTATTTACCATAAATTTTCGACAAAAAATGAAAAAATTTTATGTGTACTATTAATATAGTAGTAGATCTCTGAATTTTTTTTATAAAATTCTATGTACTAGAATTTTCGAAATAACATCCGAAAATCGAAACCTCATTAAAATGTCTTCCTTTTCAAAACTCTTACCTAACAAGTCTGGCCTCCTGTCAGTCAACCTTAATCCTGAAAACTCGAGAGGTTCGCACCTTTGAATAAAGGTCGCTGTCCGTCGCATTGTGTTTCCCCACCCGGAAACGATCGCGAGGCCCCGTGAACATTGACACCTTGTTATACCGTGGGGCCCGGGGCACTGGTCTATCATCGCGTGCCGGCGAAAGTTGGCCCGGTAAACCATACAGCTAGTAAGAAGGTACGAAAGAAGGAAGGAAGGAAGTCACGCGGAATAATCCCCCTTTTCTCTTTCGACAAATCACGCTCCGCTGATTCCCTTTTCAATGCTACCCATCCAAGTTCCCGACATTCCGACGCACCGAAAGACCTTTACGCGTCAGCACTTCAGTTGTTTACTCAGTATATTTCTAATCGAAGGTAACTTCACCTAGAAACTAGGTGAAACGTTTTAATAAGATATTGATCACGATTACTCGGAGAATACTGGAGCTACAAGAAAATTGTCTAGGACCTTTTGTACATAAGAGTTAGAGCTACGTGTTGTATTTGAAACATTTTCTTATAGCGCCAATAATCAACAAACTATGAAGAGTAAACTGCAATAAAATGTTTTTTACAATTACTCGTTAATTATTGATGCTCGAGAAAAATGCTCTGAATGAAACTTGTAGCTAACTACATCACCTACAATCTATTATCACCTACAAATAATGTACTATACAATTTTCTTCTAGATCCAATACTTTTACCAAGTATTGAAAAATCTCAAAACCGTGATAGAATAATTGCGTCAGTTAACAATTTCCTCATATTCTTTAAACGAAAGTTTGCGAAGGGGATTCCCAGAAGTAAACGAAGACGATTTAAGCTTCGGCAGGAAGGAGGTAGTAGCCGCCGGAACTGAGCTGAACTCGACACAGCAAATATTGATCCTCCTCTCCTGCGATTTTTCAGGTGAAATGAAAGATTCTTTGGTAGCCGAGTGTACCAGGGACAACCTCATCACGTACTGGCGTACCCATCGTTTAAGTAATTTCCCAATTTTTCTCACGGTCGTAAAAACATAGCAAATATTTGAATTTATAAAATGTTTGAGGCTAGCCTTTATTTGGTGTCAATGTCTAGTAAATGTTACAGTCTGCTGTCTACATGGTAGCAATTCCCCCTGGACAAACATAAATCAGCTATTGTTCGACACAGATAATTCCTGTCTATGAGAGATTCTAATATTTGCTTCGATATTTATGAGAAGAGACTTGGAAGCGGGGGCCGAGGATTTGTTTGAAGGGCTCGTTATAGAGGCAGCTTCCCTTCATGGGGTGAATGCAGCTGCATGCCACGTGGCCATGATTATAATCATAATCAACCATATATTGTACACTAATCACAAGATATCTTGAAAACATGTTCAATCTAAAATTTTGAAAAAGTCAGAGATGTACTACCATGTCTGTAGTATGCATCAGAATTTTTTCGTTCATAATTGATATGGAATAAGAATTCATCAAGTTTGCAGATTCCGATAAATCCAAATTTTGACCTCGCATGGGAATTGAACATTTTCATTGGAATCATATAACTAGAAGGTTATAGTAAATGTGTAAATTGCTGAACACAAATATATTCTCTATAGGACTACGAAGGTTCGTGATCCGTGCAACGCGAATATGGGTTAAACCAGCGCACGAATACGAGGCTAATCACGCAACACGTTGGATTCATGTGTCCCAAATCCGAGACATATCGTTACTCAACGGAGAAACATGGCCCTGCACTACTATTAATCCGACGGAACCCTTAGAACATGTAACTATTGTTCTCGAGAAGAAGAGCAAGCAGCAATCAGAAAGTATTGAACTTAGAGGAAAATTGTGTAAAATCTTATTTGTAAGTGAGGGCTGGAGTTACAAGTTTTGTTTGAAGCATTGTTTGATAGCATCAATGATTAACGAGCTATGAAGAATAAACGCTCCATGCCATCGCTAATGCTTTAAGGTTCTTTGCATTTACTCGTTAATTATTGTTACTATCAAGAAATGTTTGCAACAAAAGTTATACTTTTTTCATACATCTTATGTCCGTTATTGTTATTATATTTTTTCTGTCTTCTAAGTATCATTTCACTACGAAAACTGTGCTATAATAAATCTGAACTTACCCCAACTGTACAGATCCTGCTCCCCTCTTCCTTCTCCTCCTTATCCAAACTATCCCCACTAACCACATCAGCAATCAAAGTATCATTTGAGTCACACTTATTCAAATTCGAATCCTCAGTAATCAATGTCTCCAACGATGCGTCCTTCTTCTCCCCACTCTCCCTCCCCAAGACCACTTCAGTTAAATCTTTATCACTAGCATCTTCATACAACGAAGACCTGCTCCTATGAGCTTCATCCCCTCCCTTCCCCACTCCAACATCCCCAAAACTAGTTACCCCTTCCTCAAGAATCTCCTCGAGTTTCTTTAGGTCCTCGAATTCCCCTAAACTGTCTACAAACTCACTTTTAGTTTCCGTAGCACAATGTTTTAATATATTAATACTTGACACGTCTGTACTCTCGTCAAAATCGAATTTTGGGTCGGTCTGACAATTTTCTGAACCACTGAAACCGGTTTTAAACTTATTAAGCGAAGTTCTAGGATCTACATCCTTTTCTTCTACTCGTATTGGCTTGCTAGTGGATTCTAGTACGTTCTCTTGTGATTTTTTCGAATTTCGGGGATTTTCGGGATGGGAGTCGAGTTCTTCTCTTGTTTCCCTGCTAGTCGTTTTTAGTACGTTTTTTGACGATTTTTTCGGATTTCGAGGATTTGTGGGATAAGAGTTTTGTTCTATTATTTCCTTATTAGTGGCTTCTAGTATATTTTCCTGTGATTTTCTTGGATTTTTATTATTTTTAGGATTTTGGGGATGGGGATCTAGTTCTTCGCTTATTCGCCTGCTATTATCTTCTGATACATTTTCTTGTGATTTTCTCGAATTTTGGGGATTTGAAAGAGTTTTGGTATTTTGACGATTGGAATGAAGTTCTTCTGTTATTCCCCTGCTAGTGACTTCAGTTTTTGACTTTGTTTGAGTCCCTCCAGCCTCTGAACTTTCATTTTCATTTGACTTTTTTGAACTTTGGTGGTAGAAGTCGGCTTCTTGATCTTCGAGGTACCAAGAAGTACACTGATCAGTTCGATTTTTTTTCTCTGTGTCGTCTTTGGAGAGAGCGCTCTTATATTTCCGAAGGTAGTTCTTCACTTTCTTTGTTTTGCTCTTCCGGGTGTCTTGGTAACGTGGATTCTCCGGGTTCTCTGTAGAGTCCGATGGAAGGGAGGATGCTGTGGTTGGAGTCGGGGTCGGGTCCTGGTTTTCCGGGTGCAAGGAGTCTTTTCCAGGGTCGAAGTCTTCGTGGTCATAAGCTAGCCTCCAAGTCTCTTCCTTTTCGGGTCCGCAACGGTCGGCTGGTGTCACCTAGAACAGAAACGGAAGACATTATTCTTAGTTTTAGCGTTCAAAATTGAAGGCGGTACTATCAGCTACAAAGTTCTTTAACCTAGTATAACAAGTGAGTCTCGTGGTAAGGGATTCGGTTCATAAATAATAATAACAACCCTGACCCCTTGTACTTACAAGAGATCCAACGTAAACATCTCAATTCTGTGATCAAGGCACCCTCGGCATTCAGTAGACAGGGCAAGGAATTCAGATTTCTTGATAACTCTGATATTTTTATGCTAAGTAATCGTCAATAATTTGATAGACAAGAACTTTAGCCCAGTTTTTGCAATTTGCTCAAGTGGTTCGATGGCATAAACCATTGCCAGGGATTCTAGGGGATTCGTAAATCAGATTTGACATATTAGGGTACTTTCTAGTGGCACCGGGTCCAATTTCTTTAATGAAATAAATAAATCCTGTTTCTAAGCCTAGTTTATTTTAGAAATTGAACCTGCAATTGAATAATGTACATATTTCCGGCTTGCCAGTAAGATTTATAGAACCCGACACGTTCTTCGGGGTCGCTTGTCCGTTTGATAGACGCGTCGCGTGCCGAAGGGGAATTTTCCTAGAACAAGGCCTGGCGATTGGTATTGCGTTTATACAACATACGTTGGAAGTAGGCCAACGAGGGTGTAGAGCGAGGGTGGGGAACAGTCAGACAATCGATAATCGCGTCTGCACTCGGATATTTAAAGGAGACTTCGATAGTAGAGATATAAAGCAGAGAGTTCTTGTTGCTTACTAAAATCAAAACTTGAAATGGAGGACAACATTCCTTTTTAAAAATAGTCACCCCGACAATTCGCGGACAATCAGACCACCCAGCTCTGTCTATGAAGAGGGAAATTGTTTCTGAGAGAGCCACCCAGATTAATGGAGGTAAGTTTTTGAAATGCGGGCGGAAGCGTCTGATAGAACAAGGTACAGGGTTCTAAGAGCGGGTCGGGAGGGTTGGTGTCATGGTAGAGGGGTTGAGAAATCGATTTCTGCCCCACCTAGCATCAGCCGAAGCCACTGTCCTCCATTGCACTCTAACAGACTGTTTGCACCTCTTGCGAATTTGCTAGGTTATCAAATAGTTTGTTAAAAATATAAATTATTTTCCAAAATGGCAAGAAGGTTTTTTAATGTTGAACTTTGAATTATTATTATTGTCAGGATTTAAGAGTCTCGGGTTGGCATGTGATTTTGTGAAAAAGATTACTTTCACTCTGGTCAAGTATAACTTCAGATAATTAGTTAACTATTGGTTTTACGAAAAAATGTAGCTATGATAAAAAATAAAGCTACAATCCACGCCTACAAGAAAGGTTGTATACAATTTCTCGTATCTCCTCTAATTTAGTAATAATCATCAAACATATGAGCCTCCAATGTCTCCCAAACAAAATTCCAATACTGTCTACCAGTTTACTATAAATACTACCTATGCTCCAAGGTTTCTCAAAGCAGGAAGCAGTGAAATCATATACATTATTATCTGCACATCGTGCGACCTGGCCCAACGTTACGGTACCTTGTCTACGCGAGTGAGAAACCCGGCAATTAAGATTAGATTCCAGTTTTGGGTGGCGGGATCGATCGTTTTAGATCGGGCCGGGGGTCGGGTAACGGTACAGGGGTTGTGAGGTGACCAGTTTCAGGGAAACCTGTATGTACGCGTGAGTCAAGGAACCCCGGGCCCACTTCGCACACACACGTACATACGCATGTTATGTGCACCAAATACGTTCAACTAGTAACAAGGCATGGATAACAATAAATATATATATATATATATAAATAAAAATAAATAAATATTCATATATATATACATACTGAATTGTATATACATATATATTTCCAATAATTATATATGTACAATATGCACACACGCGCGCGCGTACTATATGTCATCGTGACATGTATATAAAGAGAGAGAGAGGGAAGTTGTTATATTTTGTATGTATGTGTGCAAAGCTAGTCGGGGACGACTTTGTGAGGAGTGCCGTTTGTAGTTTGTACCTTCTTCCGGCGCAGTAACTTCCAGTCAAAGTGACTCATCCTGGCCCAATCCTCTTTCTTTTTATTCCACCGCACAACTAACACTTGATCAGATCCAACCACTTCTCCCACCTTGTAGTCTTCATTCTTGTTTTAATTGAAACTTAGTTTCCTCTTTGTTCTTTTCACTTCATTTAGTCAACTAGAATAGAATCTATATTTATTTTGGGCCTTGCAGGGCCTTTGGGCCCTAGAAAGGGATTTGTTTACAGAAACCAAATCTTCTTTTCATCACTGATTCTTCACACATAGTCACTCATCCTCGCCACATTCTTAATTAAAACAATTCAGTACTTTAATTATTTAATACATAATTCGGTATTAAGAAAAATCACTGCACTTCAGGTTTTTGGTTGATATCAGTGTTTGTTAAATACAAATCGTAAATAATAATATTAATAACAACCATTTAATCACCTAATTCAGTATTAAAATTATCGTAAAAATTCTTGAAGAAACAAAAAATTGCTAGATTTCAAACTTTCAGTTGACAGCACTTGATCAGAAATCGTAAATAACAATAATATGTAATATGTAACAATCATTTAAACAACTAATCCAGTATCAAAAATTTAAAAAACAGTAGAACAAAAAATTACTGAATCTCAGATTTTCAGTTCGCAGTTGACTACTTGTCAATATTGAAATTATTATGAATTATTAAGGTCCCAGAAGAAATTACTAAATTCCAGATTCCTAATTGACAGCACTTTTCATTAACAACAAATTCTAAGAACGTAGCACTGTCTATTTTTACGACTTCATTCTAGTTCTGTTGCATAATTTGTGTGAGTGAGTAAATAAATAAATAAATAAGTGAATGAATGAATTCATAAATAAATAAATTAAGAAATACATTCATGAGCAAATAAACAAATTCATAAATGGATAAATAACTGCATATATAAATTCATAAGTAATTTTATAAAGTATAAATAGATTATTATTTATTCGAAACTGTTTCATCACTCCATTTCCCACATTTTCAACTGGTCCAATAAAAAAACGTCCTTAATAGCGAATTGACAAGATCGAACGGCCACTAATTGTTACCTTACTGTAATACCATAACCTAAGAGATACTTTTTGATAAATGCAAATGGCCGTAGCACTGATGTACTTCTCCATTTATTTATAACTCTATTATTAAGATTTACTTTACAATTTTTATATCGAGACTCAGAAATCCATTTTTAAGAAATCCGATTTGTTTAAATCGGTTGATTGGGTTTCGGTGGACACTTCGCGAAAAAGTGCAAGAGGGTGGATACAACCGCGATGGGGATTGCAGGGTGGACTGTCGAACTGTTTTACTCGCCCCCTCAGAGTGGTTCGTACCACGCATGCGTGCGACTGACNAGATTATTATTTATTCGAAACTGTTTCATCACTCCATTTCCCACATTTTCAACTGGTCCAATAAAAAAACGTCCTTAATAGCGAATTGACAAGATCGAACGGCCACTAATTGTTACCTTACTGTAATACCATAACCTAAGAGATACTTTTTGATAAATGCAAATGGCCGTAGCACTGATGTACTTCTCCATTTATTTATAACTCTATTATTAAGATTTACTTTACAATTTTTATATCGAGACTCAGAAATCCATTTTTAAGAAATCCGATTTGTTTAAATCGGTTGATTGGGTTTCGGTGGACACTTCGCGAAAAAGTGCAAGAGGGTGGATACAACCGCGATGGGGATTGCAGGGTGGACTGTCGAACTGTTTTACTCGCCCCCTCAGAGTGGTTCGTACCACGCATGCGTGCGACTGACGGGTACATTCAATTCAAAAATCAAAAGGGATAGACTGCTTTTTATATTTTTTTGACGGACTACAAATTTTTGAAAATATGATATTATTTTTAATTAAGAAATCCGAAAATGGAAATAAAAGTGTATTTAATATTAACATAAAATTGTAATTATCGTGGCATTATCATGGGCAAGTGCAGAGTAAATGTCAGTAAACTAGGAAGTATACTAGCGACATCTAGTAATTGAAATGTATAACAGAAGGCTTGTCCTTTCAAGAAAATACAAATTAGTTGATTAGGGAAAATGAGTTGCATATAACTTGTCGATTATCAGTCGTACAAACAAATTTTGTTAACAAAAATTGAAGGCTAGATCATACCTACAAAGAAGTTTCCATAACATTTCTTAATAACTCCAATACTTCCGGAATACTCATTAAAAATAATGAACTAATGTAAGTCCCAAATAGAACTGTTTTGAAATTTCTAAGGGATTCTAACGATAAACAAAATTTCCCTATACCTCCGACTCATTCAAGATCTCCCTATACCTAACTAGAGTAAAACGAATACTGAAGTTGATCACTCGAAACTCGGAATGAAGTCAGCTCGCCGTCACCTCGACGGAAAAGAGGCTCGCTCAGCCATCTTGGAGAACGCGAGATGCCAATCTACAGATTCAGATCAGCTCTCGGTTCCCTTCTACGGGAAATCTGGGCCCCGTAATGTAAACAACTTCCGTCCCGGCGCGCGGGCAAAAACACTGTTTAATGGCAATTAAGAGGATTTCACGGCAGGAATGGACATTGTGCTCTGTTCACGTGCCGCTCTTACTTCTAGCCGAGAGTGGGGATAATCACAATCGACATGGCTTCAAGTAGGGCCCAACAACTTCGAGCAAATCAATTACATTAGATTAATTAGACCCTCGAATTCGAGATACTCGATCCGAGAGGTCGGTATGGGAACAACAACAATTGACAGGACCACTTCAAATGGGGTCCAAATAGAGCCCAACAATTTTAAATCAATAAATTATATTAGATTAATTAGACCCTCGAATTCGAGAGGCTACAATTTTTTTAACGAATTCAACGGTACCGTTAGTTATTACAATAAAACAGTTGGAAACGGTTTTTAATTACAACCCGACCCGTCATATTTTCTCTCAGGTAACGCGTTATATCCTTGGGAACCACCTAATTGCATTTTCTCCCAACGATCGCCGTGTATAAAATAGACACACGGATACAGTTACGTTAATTTCAATTCAATTCCCAATTAAAAAAAAAATAACTAATTCAAATCAGGATTGGTATCGATTACACGTTTCGCAGACGATCCAATCAGAGATCGGAGATACCTAAATGGGTCGGTAAGGTTCATATTACTTACAGTTAATTAATTCAAATGTTTAGTTAAGTTGAGGATTGAACCAGTGGATAGTGGATGAGTACTAAGGAGAATGAGCCCAAGTCAAATTAACTCAGGATACTGTATTTGGCCATTTTGGTGGGATCCATATTTTTGGGCATTATCCCGGTCATTACACGTAACGAGCCAACCATGCCAAGCTACCATAACGGTAGCCTGTTCTAAATATCCTTGCACTAATCGGATAAATAATTGTATAAGTAAAATGCTTTCTGAGACGATAAATCAGGCACTGTGCTAGATGGTATCAGCAGTATGGCGTCGACAGGGCCGTTTTCGACCGTTTCCGTATTCGCGTGAAGCTTTCCACTCCCGGCAGCGTTGTGTCCGTATCGCGTTTAAACAAAAGGCGTCGCTTATTAAAGAAAAAGGAAACGGTGGCAAACAATGGCCGGGCCCCCATTGTCTTCTCTATCAGAATTTATCGTCCAATTGATTTTCTATCGGGCGACGCCCGCGGTCGGGCGTCTTTTGGAATATTTCATTAGTTAAACGTTTCTCGAAATCATGCCACTTCTTCCGGATGTAAGAAATATTACCTAAAAGGAATGCCAGGTTGTATCTATATTTATTTAATTAAGAACACGGTTCCCCATAGCTAACGCGTGAGCGTGATAAAAGATAAGAAAATGTCGCAGGCGTAACGTGAGAGTTTGCTGCGTCGACAGGTTTCATGTAGATAAAAATGCGTTGGAACGAACTCGAAGCTCAAAAATATTTCAAGATTAGTTTTAATTATTCTGATTTATTTGAATTCTCCATTTATTCCATTAATAACGAACCCGCGATTCAAATTGATCCTTGAACTCTCTAATTAACCGAGTCTCTTTGACAAATTTTGATAAACCGATACCTGATATTTTCAACTTCGATTATACATATATCAAATACGTAATAGCCTTTAGATTTCAAGTTTGGAGGGTTGAGGTAGGGTTTGGGCTTAAGGATTGTTCTGTCCCTGTCTGGGTTAGGCTAGTCCAGTGACCGTGAACCACCGGTTTGACCTGCGACACAAACGTTCTCTTACGAGTCCGGACCCTGCCGGCCCTCCGGCCCTCCTCCTCCTCCTCCTCCTCCGCCCCCGCCCCGCTCACCTGCCTACCATAAATCTACCTGCGGTCCCCTATCCGACTTCAAACTCCATTGGATCTGTTCAAAGTCCTTTCCCTTTTACCATAGAACATTTAAAGAATGAAAATATTTCAAACAACTTCTAAGATGATCTTATGCTTTGAGAATTCTTTATCATCTCAATTCATCATCAAGGAATATAATAAAATTCAGGGAGGTACATCTGATATCTGAGAGGAACTCAGATTTTTTTAATAGATTCTAGTCAGTTGAATTGAAGAAATTAATATGTATGTATGGATATGTGATGATACAGAGAAGTCAAAGTTTGACAATTTTGTTTTTAATCGAAATCGTTGACTTAAAATTCTGAAAAGATTCTCTAATATACAGTATACTACAAAACTGCATTTCTCCAGAATTTTCTGATCACTAGGTATAACAAAAAATATAGAAAAATAATTCTCAAACCAAAAACGGACTTTACATTTTTTTAATCATGTGATTGCATTTAGTATTCAAATATAAAGTATCAATATTTTTGAAGTTACAGAACGTGCACCAATGTATTGACAATCGTTTGCATAATTACGACTTCCATAGAATTTAATGTAATACTCCACGAGGGTTAGTAAATTGCCAGTTGCACCCTATTTCCCATCCCCCGACGGGCTCGCAACGGGTGCAAATTTATTAAACGGGTGCGCCCCTCTTCAGCCGATTGCTCCCACAATTCTTTATCGCAACAACAAAATTTTTCAAAATTAAAAAGATATCATTTTTTTATTATTCTACTTCTAAAATTATTGTAATTTCATTTTTTTGAAAGTTGATTTGTAATTTTTCCTTTTTTAATTTTTTGTAATTCTTTTTGAAAATTGTTTTATGATTTTATTTTTTTTTTAATTTACTTATAATTTTTTTATGAAATTGTTAAAAAATCGTAGAAATTTCATTGTTTTCAAACTCGTTTTACGTGAAATTATATTTTGATTTCAACTCACCGGCAGATTCCTGAGTCCTAGTCGCACCTTCAAGTACTTCTTCATGAACACTCTCCAGAGTACATATGCCATTTTTCAAACCACCGTTACCCCACAACAACACAAATTGAAACAACAACAACGAACGTTCGAGTCTTGTCAACATCTCCCTCCATTGTACCTAGTAGACAATTTAAATTCTCCCCTCAAATAGAAACATGCGAAACCAATAGAATTCGAACTATACCAGTTATGATGCTGGCTTCGGTTTCCTTTTGCATAAAACTGTGTTACGTCACCACCGCTGGGCAGGATCTCGTCATCGACGATACCGGAACAGTTTCGAAAATCGTCACGGTTGAAATCGTTTGAATAGAAAACAGGTTAACCGAGTTTTATTAAGTTTTCCAACTTCGCAGAGCGGAGTCGAGATTCCGTACGCGCGCGGGCACCGACGGGACACGACTGGGACCGAAACGTGATCGTGAAACTCGCCGAAGGTGGCTGGCCTGGCGAACGTCGCAGCTGCGTGGCCATGCAGGTTTCCGAAGAAGGAGGAAGGAGGGAACGAAATCGTGCGCGCATACTAACGTACAGACTCAATGTATGAATGTGTAATTGCTTGCTGGACGAGTGCGTCTATAAGTATCAGAGTGAGTGAGAGTGAGAGAGAGAGAGAGAGAGAGAGAGAGAGAAAGAGAGAGAGAGAGAGAGAGAGAGAGGAGTTGCGTTGTGTAAGAAGCAAACCTGACACGAAGTTATATACACGTGTATGGTATGGACAATGTACAGTGTGTCTGGGTTAAATAGGGTTTTATTTAAGATGGAGGAAATGTTGGTGTGGATTTTTAAGTGAACCTGGCGTAGTAGTAGTGAAATATAAAACTGTCAAAAATGACAGTAGATAAGAAATGAAACAAAAAATGACAACGCGTCAAAAAGAGATCCTAATAAAAAATGGATCTTAATCGAAAATGGACCTAAAAGTGACCCATAATAAAAATGGGCCCGAAAATTGGACCTAATCGAAAATGGACCTGAAAACAGCCCATAATCAATATTGGATTCTAATGGAAAATGGCGTTTAATAAAAAATGCGCCCTAATAATAATGGGCCTTAATCGAAAATGGACCCTAATAAAGAGTGGGCTCGAAGAGTGGAGCCTAATAGAAAAATGAGCACGAAAATGAGCTCGGAAAACAAAAATAAAAACTGTACCTGAACGAGAAACCTGTCAACCATTATCAAATCCCTAATTGCTATTTCTACACAAACTCCAAATGAATGAAATGTGAGCTTTGAACGAAAGCGAACGAGTTGAAAGCCGACACGATATTACCTGTTTACATTGGCTACGTTCTCCTCCATTAAGCTATCAACATATTACTATAAATAACTGAGCCTTCATTAATCATTCATTCGTTACTTTTTCCTATCCAGAAATTAACAATTAGTACAAAAAACTTGCTAAATGAATATTCAATTGATCTGATCATCGCTAAATTTAATTCGATTCCAACTGTTTCACGTAAGACATAAACCGTAGAATATTGATGTTAGAAAATAGATTGCGGAGACTAGGCGTGTCCAGCAACCCTCGGGATGAATTAAATGGAAGCAGAGGGTGTGTACTTGGGGTTAACGGTCCTCCAGCCCAACCCTTCGGTTCACTGAACCGCCAGTTTCGTCGCCAGAAACAGAAACGACGATTTAATAATAGAAAAAGTATCAAGATAATTGATAGATTTCGAATTATTTCTATAGAACATCAATTTGTGGACGTGTACTAATAACAACGACCACAATTGAAATTGACTGTTGCCATTTTTTGGGCTTTATAGTGCGCCCATATTTTTGGGCATTATCTTGGGCATTATTCCAGCCATTTTAGAGGATCTATGAAAATGTATAATGGGAGGCTCATTAAAATGGCTAAAATAATGGCAAGAAATATTCTTTAGACGTTGTTCTAATAACATTTCTTCCACCATTTTTTATGAAACGGCATAAAATACGTGATAAGTATTGAAATCCCTTAAACGTTTACGTTTCAATTCTTCGAATCCTCTTAAGAGCAAACGAAGAGTTATTGCAAGGTAGCAAAAGTTATAGAGCATCACTTGGATCGAAGGTATTCTCTCGCCAGTCGCCAGCCACTTCCGTTTTGTCTTTACACGTCGCATCGCGCCTTTTTACTACTCTCCCCCTATTTAGCAGTCAGACACCGTCCCTGCGTAAAACCCCGTTCACTTTAAGTTAAACACACTTCTCAATCGTTTAAAATCGTAGCTCAAATTTGTCATTTGTTTTACTATAATTGTTAATTATTTTATTATTTCTATAGAATTTTTATATTTATTTTTTCAAATTTCTCTTAGATTTCTGAGTTTCTGTGTTTATTGTCACTATCCCTTTATTCTCCTCTGTACATTTTAAAATTCTAATCAAAATTAATAAAGTATTGTTATTATTATTAGTTAATTAATTAATTTATTTATTTATTGAAAGTGAGTCTATCTGTGTTGTTCGTTGTATCGAAACACGTGAAAAGGGCTTAATTATCGTTGGTCTGGTGCATTCTTCGCGGAACAATGGGGCGTAGCTGGCTGGCGGCACGTGAGTACCCTCGAAAATGTGGCCAAGGTGGCTCGCGTTCATTCATGTACCGGTTTCACCCAGCTGAGACCCTCGTCCAAAGTCAAGTACCAATACGAGACTCGAAGAAAAAAAAGCTGAACTCCGTTCCGTACAGAATATTTGTTAAATTCATTTATTATACAATACATCGTTTGCTATAATTATTACACTTTTTATAATCGTTATTAAAATCCTTGTATCGTACAATAAATTACAGTTACATCCGTAATCTATTTAAATTATCAACGAGGCAACGGAATCAATCGATCAAACGAATGAAACATTAATAATTTTCTTGAAATTTTCGCATTTCTCCCTGAAACTTTTTTGAATTTTTCTTAGATATTGCAGAAATTTCATGCAATAGAAAACGTTTAGAATATACACGTATATATAATTCAAACTTATAATTAATTATCCAATCCGATAATCTAATATAAAATACAACCGTTGCATGTAACAATTGAAAAATATCGAACGACTCTTAAATCGGATCAATCTATAAATAACTGTTTAAAACCTATTAGAAGTGCAATACAAATGTAAAAAAGAAGATATAAGAAAAACAATTGAATGAAAATTATTAGATTACAATGAACATATTTCTATCATCTAGATTAATAATAATGCTTCTCTAAAAGGAAAGAGAAACATTTGAAAATATATTATTATATATTATATTATGTTTACACTTGTTTGTCTGTAAAATTGGAAATTCAATTGGAACCTAGCTAACTATGCATCGTCGTATTAGAATTATTTAGGTAATTCTTGGTCAACAAATTTCTGTGTATGTATACCGGGTGTCCCAGAATGCATTTTCGTTTGCAGGATCCGAAAGAACGTGAAATTTTTGAGCAGAAGTTCCTTTTCCATTTACTTTTTCCGTTATATAATAATTTGATTCACAATGATCATAGAAAGAAATAAAAAGTAACTTTTTACTCAGAATTTCAGTGCTCCAGATGAAAATCGTGGACTCTGGGAAACTCTGTATATTATTACGTTGTTAGATATTTTACATATAGTGTTCGAATTCTCTTCTGTAGAGAAGAGTCGACTTAAATTAAATTTCGTATCTTTTCTGTCTTTACCTATTTTTCTTCTATTTTCCTGATTTAATGTTCCTCTCTGAGAATTTGTTTAGATTTATAATAACTCTTATTTCCTCTATGATTCTATAAATTGAAAATTGTAAAGGATATTTATTTGTGAGGAAGTATTTCGTTTAAAACGGAATGGCGTCCGGCTTCTCGACGACTTTAAATATGTTTGAGAGTTCATCTAGGAGCGTTTCATAACGGTAGGCGACACGGATGTCGGGCACGTTGGTCCTGGTTATGTCGTTCCCTGCTACTCCTTCCTTCGTGTAGTTTGGACCGAGCCAATACTGTTTACTCTGGAAATAATTGTTGATTCACAAGTTTATTAACAGTGGACCAAATGTGTTCAATTAAAGCTTGAGTTTTCTACTCTAATTCAGTCCTCCTCAGACTTTCACTTAAATCGACTCTTAATCCTTGTTCAATTCCAAACAATAGATAAAGAAAAATATCGTTCAACTTGAATTATTACCTTGTGTGGAAAGCCACTCATCAGTACCGAGTTCCTAGCTAACTCGCACATATCGCAGGAGCTCAGCTTCCACACTTGAGCGGCAATACTGTACTCCTCCATCAAAGGTTCCTAAGTTACAGAAATCAGAAATTTTCCGTGGATTAAATAAATAATTCCACTACATTTATATCCTTGTCGCAAGCATACAAGAGGCATGAAGTCGAACAATTTTCAAAATTTCCGGCTATATTAGAACCACCATTTTGAATTTCGAAAATTTGATAGCCGTTTGATAATCAACTGCCGAAAAAAATTCCTAAATTCTAATTTTCATAACAATTAGAAAGTTTAAAAACCTTCGGTAGCCGCCATTTTCACTTTTGCGAATTTTCGTTAAGTGCCATCTTGAATTTTGAAAAAATTTCGGTAGCCGCAATTTTGAATTTTGAAAAACTTATAGTAGCCACTATTTTAAACTTAAAAAATCAGACTTTAGCAAATAATTTATTATATAAAATAAAATATTTATTTAATCGTTAAAATTAACTAAATTCCCAAATTGGTCAATAAACTTACTTTAGTGAAATGGAATTGCAATGGATCGTCCGTGCTGAGGCTGATGCACAGTCCTCTGGCCAAATATTCGGGCAGTGGATTCCTGTGGTAGTTCAGGAACAGGGAATTGTTGCTGAGGGGCGACATGGCAATACCTACTTGGGCCAGGTAGTATAAATATTGTAATACTGGGACTTTTCTTAAGAGAAGCCCGTGGGAGATGTTCTCGGCCATCATGTAGCCGCAGACTAAATGCTGTATGGGTCCGGCCTCGCCGCAATGAGGCCTCAGTACGAAAGTGTTCAAACCTGTGACAAGATTTTTGGATTTAGGAAATTTTTTAGTGATGGGTTAAGTGAGTTTAAGGAAGGTTTAGCTATTTTGTTGCAGTGATATTTAAATGATTTTTTGACGATAGTGTTCTAGGTTCCTGAATTTTTTCAACTTTCTATTGTCAATACTTTAGAAACCGTAATTGTTTATGTAACACTCTAAGCATTTCTTTCATTTACCTTGTTCCATACGGAAGTGGTTTAGCACCGTCATGTTAGCATAAGTGAAATATTGATAATACGCATAAGGCGGGTTCTCGACATCATTCCACTCAGCAGGGGGACAGACGTCCTTATCAAAAAGTGGATTCTCCGGCTTACTTTCATCATCAACCGAATCGAACCCAATCACATATTGAAGAAATCGGTGAAGCTCTGGATGAGAGTTCGGGTCGTTAGTCACTTCAAACAGTGGCAAGAAGATATTATTCAAAATCTCTTGGAAGTGGGTCATCAGCTTATTCAGTTTAAAAATATCACTGAAAAAGAGAAAAACAATTTTATTAATAGTAATAAGCTTCGAGAAAAAATTTCAGGGAATGAAATTGAATTTTCTATATTTATTTAATCGTTAAAATTAACTAAATTCCCAAATTGGTCAATAAACTTACTTTAGTGAAATGGAATTGCAATGGATCGTCCGTGCTGAGGCTGATGCACAGTCCTCTGGCCAAATATTCGGGCAGTGGATTCCTGTGGTAGTTCAGGAACAGGGAATTGTTGCTGAGGGGCGACATGGCAATACCTACTTGGGCCAGGTAGTATAAATATTGTAATACTGGGACTTTTCTTAAGAGAAGCCCGTGGGAGATGTTCTCGGCCATCATGTAGCCGCAGACTAAATGCTGTATGGGTCCGGCCTCGCCGCAATGAGGCCTCAGTACGAAAGTGTTCAAACCTGTGACAAGATTTTTGGATTTAGGAAATTTTTTAGTGATGGGTTAAGTGAGTTTAAGGAAGGTTTAGCTATTTTGTTGCAGTGATATTTAAATGATTTTTTGACGATAGTGTTCTAGGTTCCTGAATTTTTTCAACTTTCTATTGTCAATACTTTAGAAACCGTAATTGTTTATGTAACACTCTAAGCATTTCTTTCATTTACCTTGTTCCATACGGAAGTGGTTTAGCACCGTCATGTTAGCATAAGTGAAATATTGATAATACGCATAAGGCGGGTTCTCGACATCATTCCACTCAGCAGGGGGACAGACGTCCTTATCAAAAAGTGGATTCTCCGGCTTACTTTCATCATCAACCGAATCGAACCCAATCACATATTGAAGAAATCGGTGAAGCTCTGGATGAGAGTTCGGGTCGTTAGTCACTTCAAACAGTGGCAAGAAGATATTATTCAAAATCTCTTGGAAGTGGGTCATCAGCTTATTCAGTTTAAAAATTGTATTCCTTGTTTTCGACTAGATTTTATGTGAAGAATCAATCCCCTTGCCGATTGTACCACGATTTCACAAACACCCTGTATTAAAATTATTTCGTTGTCATTTTTATATACTTACTACAATCTCGGGATTTGTATGAGCCACCTGACGTTATCGGAATACACGTCACTCTGTATCGCCCATTTAGCCAATTTGTCCCACTCTTCGGGACTCTTCCCATAAATCGACAGTCTACAGAGAAAATAATGAAATTCTTGAAGAACGTTTCTAATCGTAAATTCTTCAGTATTGTTCAAACAGCTTAGATATTCATTTTAAATAAATTTTTCAATTGTTTGTTGAATTACCTCAGCTCTGCGTTTTGGTACTTGGACTCTTCTAAATCGCTAGCCACTTCTTTAATTATACTAGCAAAGAATTTTCCGTTCAGATAATTATCAGTTTTCAGGAAGACTTCTCTCAGTCGACTCTCACCGATAGGATTGTACTTTGCGTTAAACTTGTCGAACCTATGAAACGTGTTCCTGTCCTGGAAGGGGAGGATAAAATTTTATTCAATGGGAATTGCAATTTTGCATCACAAAAATTGCTCCAAGATTCTGGTGTAAGCTTACAGCATGAACGTCGAGCATGTCGACGCTTAGGTCGTACGTAGTCAGATTCATCGACTGGAACACTTCCCTCAACGTCATCGTCTCTCCGCTCTTCGACCACGTCACTATTTCGTTCGCGTGACTCTTCAACGTCTTCTTTATGAATCTAAGCAAATGTTTCTGGTTCATACAAGAGGCAGCGTGAATGTGCGTGTCCACCTTGAAAAATAATAGAAACAGTGTTACTCTTTTAGGTTTTATATACGGGGTGTTTCAGAATGGATCATTATTAACGAAGTTATTAAGAAAATCTGTTGTAGCCCCGGCCCTAGTACGCGATTGGTCCATCACGTTTTTCTTTATAATTTCGTTAATAATGAGCATAGAGAAAAATAGAAAAGGAGCTTCTTGCTCAGAATTTGATCCTCTTTCACGTTCTCAGTAGAAATTACCGGAATATGCCCTCCATCTGTAATTAACATTACAAAGTCAAATACCTTTCTGATATTATAAAAATCCCTGTGAGGCACTGCTTTCTGGCTGGCCAATTCCCTCAGCTCGTTCAACAGAACGTGCAATTGATACTTGGAAGATAAATAACTTAGTCTCCTATAGCAGAATGATTTGAGTGGACCATCGGCGATCATCGAACACAAGACGTTCATGTCTCGGACGAACGTGGCTAAGTCTGGATAGCTGTATGGCACGGGTTTCCCGTTCTCGTAATCTTCTTCGCTCGCGTAGACGTTGAATACCCCGTTGACTGGGGCGATTTTGTAGTTTTTCGAGGGAGGGAAGACGCACTCCCAAGGGTCACCTCGGGACGCTGGAGCGTGCACTGGGTGATCTGCAGAGCAGAGTGTACGTGTACCGAGTAGATTTTTAAAGTCGATTTTCTCGAAGTCGAAGTCTCAAGTGTAAAAATTTTATTCTATATTTTCGAATTATTTTTTTACATAAAATCAACCCCTATCCGGTTGTACCACCAGTTACATGACACCCTGTATAATAATAAGATTAAAATTCTACCTTATTGGACTAGGTTCATAATTCTTCATGATTTGGTTTATAATTTTCTGTTTCCAAGGATCAGGATCAGGATCAGGATCAGGATCAGAAGTGGGATAAGATTCTCAAAGACTTATGGGTCTTGTCATTCGGAACAGTCTGACAATTTGTCTAAAGATAAACCTAAATTACGTTTTAAGTTAATTGGATAATTCTTCGTACATTTATACAAAGTGTCCCACAATGCAAGACTTTTCTTCGAACCCGTGAATTCTGGGACACCCTGTACATTAAGTTCATCAGTTCATTAATGAATTAAGTAGATAAGCACCTGCTATTGCTTTCCTGTCGTCATGATGCATCTCGTCGCAAATGTTAACAGGCTTCTTATCGACGCTACGTAGGAACCTGGATGTTATCGAAGGGTACGACTGTTTCGAGTTGTTCATGTACCTCTCCCTGATCGCCAGGGCCTCCACAAGCATCTGGGAGGCTCTCTGTAAATCCTCCAGTGGTACCTACAATCAAAACCACATTAAACACTTAAATAACATGACAAATGTTAATTTATTAAATCAAATTGAAATTAATATGAATTAAAATTCACTTAGAACAAAGTTTCAATTAGATTTTTGTTTTTTTGAATACAGTATCTTCCGGAGTGCACGATTTTACTTCGAGGGTGCGAAAGAGGATCAAATTCTAAGTCGAAAGTTCGTTTTCCATTTTTCTCTACGATCACTATTAACGAAAAAGTTGTAGTCCCGCCCCTCACACGGGATTGATCCACACACTTTCCTTTATAAATCCATTAATAATGATCGTAGATGAAAATGGTCCAGGAACTTTCGTTTCAGAATTTAATCCTCTTTCAGATGTTCCAGGTGAAAATCGTATATTCTGAGACATCCCGTACAGTGACACAATATATTACATAACAACACTAAAAGGATTTCAATTACACATGCATGTAGATACTTATATATTATATCATAGAGAATTTTCAGGGAAAGAATGAATCTATATAGGGTTTCATAGTAAAGGATTAGCTTTATGCCATATTTTCTAAGGTTTCTCAAGGAAATCTCTCAAAAGTTTTACGTAACATGTAAGAATTGTACCCAGCTATTTAATATTTATTCTACGATTCTTATATGATACAGAAAAATTAGCAAGCAGTCTAAGAGTTTTGAATTATGAATGAACTGTACATATATTAAGTTAAACTATGATTAATTTAAAGAATCGAATGACTTACACCGGATGTGTCTTCGCCGGAGATTGAAACTCGTTGAAAATGTGGGACGAAGTCATTTTCCTCGAGGTTGAACAGGTGGTCAGTGTCGTCGGGAATGCCAGGGCCTAACGAGGGCTCGTAATGACTTCTACGCTCCTCCAAGTCCTTCGCTGCTCTATACAAACAAAATTCAAAACTTAATTTAAGACAGATCGGATTTTAATTGAGAATTTTTTGCTAAGGTCAATAATTAACGAGTTATTAACAATAAACTGCTATTCCAACATATAGAATGTTTAATCACCTCAAAAGAATTCTGTTATCTCGTATCCACCGTTTCGACTCAATCGCCCTACCAAACATAATTTCCTTTTACCCTCCCTTTTCTCACATGTTGCTTGAAAATTCCTTTAAACTTATTCACATTTTCCAAATTCAAAATAATTCTCACTGATTTATTATTATTATTTTAATAATTTGTACGTTTTGTTCGTTAACACTTAAACAGTTATTTATTCANAATGTACACATTTTTACAATTTCTATATATGCAATATTTTTAAACTCTGATAAAGTTGATAGCTGCCTCAATTGGTGCAATTCTTCCGAGTGATACCATTATTTCACTACTATTTACCCAGTATTTACAATGTCCACAACATGGAATATCAAACTATGAGGCTGGGAGGCGCGCAGTTACTGAAGACTGAAGCTGGCAATGACAATGGTTATGGATAGTGCAATGTGCGACGCACGAACCCCCACCATGCACCACCGCCAGCGGTCAATGCGTTTACCTCCACTACCTCATTTCAGCTGTAGCGGTGGGAGCAGATGCAAATGAATGATTTTCTCAAAAACTAACGTACCGATTTTAATAAATTGTTCATATGTTCTAAATATAGGATTGACCTATATTCTCTATAAATTTCAGTTTCCTATCATCAATACTTTCGAATCTACAACTAAAAAATCATAGACCGAATTTTTCACTCAATAAAATCGTAAAACAAAACTGCAATAAATACGATTTAAAATTGCAATCTCAAACTTCAATAATAATCAAACCACATTGAAACGTAGCCTTCTCTAATGGCTTCGATTTAAACACAATAGAATAATTTAAATGAAACTTACTTGACAGTCAGCTGCCTTTGGATTAACAATTTTTTCTCTATTTGTTCAATAGGGAATTGTGGCACCTCGTAAGGAGCTGAAATCTCGTTTGGTAATTCCTGGGGCGACCTCCCAGCCGTACTACCACCCTCTAACCCAAAAACTGGGCTCTCGCTTCCTGAACAGAAAGCAAATCAAAAATAAGACGAATTATCTCTTGCAATCAAGTATTGTAAGTGACTCATTAATTATTGAATCTCACACACCCTTATTTGTAGCTGACAACTGGAACTATAATACAATATAATTTGAAACATTTTTAGATAGGATCTCTATTTTTTGGGTATAAAAATGAACATCCTCGTTTCTCTTAGTTTTCCTGTAATACCTCATTTTTCCCGAAAAACATGCATTTCTACAAAAACAATGATTTTTCGGAAACTGTAAGTGATAGAGCAATTTTGTTTCCAGATTTGTGTTTGTCTTGAGAAACTGTATAAGAATCACGTGATGGATATTGCAAATTTTTTTTTGTGTTGGACAGTGTAATTAACGTATAATTGAGAAAAAACTGGAAACCTTGTATTATTTCACTTAAATCTTTATTTTTATACAGAAAATTTCAATTACTTCAAGAATCGTGTCATTTTAATTAAGAACCTTGAAAGACGAGTGATAATTACAAGCTGTCGGTGAACTTTAGATACAGAGGTCACCATCGATACAGAAATAGTTCACAATACGAGTAGGAAATGAGAGAGAGAAAATATTGACAAGAGTTTACCAGTTGGCTGTTCAAAGTTTATCGACAGCCGAGTAACTATTTATTACTGGAGATTGGAGATTTGTAATGAGACCTGTTGTCACGTGCAACGCGCCTTGTTGTTTGGAATTTGGAAAAATTCTATCCCGATGAAAAATGTTGTTCAACTTCTTAATAATGGACCGATTTTAGCTCAAATTAAAGAGTAAAGTTTCTATTTTAATTCATGTTTTTTCACAATTTTCTTTAAATCGACCCCTAACAGATAAAACTCTACTTTGAATCAAACCTAATCCAATTCTAAATAACGTATCCCATTAAAAATGCCTTTTTATTCTTTCTGAATTTACCTTCATCCTCGGGATCTATCAGGAAGTTGGTTGGGACCCTCAGTAGAAACATATCGTTTTCAGTAGTAGTTACACCTCTGATCGACATTCTAATTCAATGGTGAAAACAATCACTATTGTCCTAGCCACTACAATTCTTTTCACTATTGTCCACAGCCCAGAGGTCTATTAAATTATAACTTGGAAATTGTCAACACATCGATTAATTCAAATCCTCAAACAATCAATCATTTTTTAATCAATAAAAAAAAATTCAGTGAAATTAAAGATTTTTTATTTAGGAACGATTAACAAAAATTAATCAAAATCTACGATCTAAGAAAATTAATAAAAATCACTTAAATATAGAATTTTATTGGTAGATGAATTATTGAATTCTTTTTTTTTAGAAACTAACGAACCGATTTTAATGAATTTTGGATATGTTCTAGATATATCATTCTTGTAGCTTCATGAATTTTTTTAACCCCCTACTACGTACACTCTTCGTTCCACAATTATGTAAATACACAAAATTGTACTTTTAAGATGATTTCTAAGATGGCAGCCTTAAAAAATTCCTCAAATCTATACTTCCACTCCTAGATCACTTATGCGCCGAATTCCTAATGAATCCACTTAAAAACTCCCACCATGAACAGTTTTCGCACTAATTTTGACCGAAACTTAATTACTAATCACAACTTCTCTAACCCAAATCACTCGATATCACACATTTACTAAGAATGACATATATATTTAATCGAATTCCTCTTTAAAATTGACAACAACTGAACATTTGAAGGGGCATGACTGGGTAAACCGTGGACAGCCAGTTTATTTTCGAGACGAAGTCGAAAGGTAGTGGGGACACCCATTTGGGAAAACGAAATTAGTCCCGGGCTCCCAGCCAGGATTTGCAAAACTGTTCGCAGAACTGCGTACGGCGCTTCGAAACGGCCTCGTCGGTTAATTAACATCATTCACAGTCTATGTATAGCATACATATGTATATTATTTATACACGTGAGTGCCAATTGTAAATACGTTTATTTGTAAACAAACGATGTCATTCGAGGTTTCGTTTTTGAGCTAAACTTTAGAGTAGAGGCTCATTCGTTTCAGAAATTTTTTGCGGGAAGACTAGTAGGGCGATTTTAATCAATTATGGATATGTTTTAGACGTAGGATTGAGGTAGATTCATGCATTTTTTCAACCTTTTATTATAAACAGTTCAGGAGCTATAACTGTTTGTATAAAATGAGATTTTTATATGAAATTACAAAGTTTTTTCTTCTCAAAGATTTCTTTTTCTCTCATCATTCACAGTCTATGTATAGCATACATATGTATATTATTTATACACGTGAGTGCCAATTGTAAATACGTTTATTTGTAAACAAACGATGTCATTCGAGGTTTCGTTTTTGAGCTAAACTTTAGAGTAGAGGCTCATTCGTTTCAGAAATTTTTTGCGGGAAGACTAGTAGGGCGATTTTAATCAATTATGGATATGTTTTAGACGTAGGATTGAGGTAGATTCATGCATTTTTTCAACCTTTTATTATAAACAGTTCAGGAGCTATAACTGTTTGTATAAAATGAGATTTTTATATGAAATTACAAAGTTTTTTCTTCTCAAAGATTTCTTTTTCTCAAAAACTATTAATATTTACTTACTGTCTCGGTGGTGATCGACAATTTTGGGTGTCGTCGAACTGTCTGCGTCCCCTTCGCCATCCAGTTCGAAATAAAGTCTTTCGCTCTCACCGTTCACATCTTTCACCCCATTTACACTCACCGCGTCTTCCATTATTCTATAGTAATCACAAATCAAACAATCTTACATTAATCATTGAATTTAAATATAATAATAATAGTAATAATAAAGAAACATTAACAGACATTCGGTAAATAAGAAAATTTTACTTTGAAATTTTTACTTTACTTAATTATAATTTGACTTTATAGATATGTATACAAAAATCAATGATAATCTCTTATAAGCTTCCCCTATCGTAAACTCAGGAAACTTTGTGTATAAGGTATTCTAAACTTACAAAAGAAGTCCAATCCTATGAGATTATGCTTTTGAGAACGACTAATGAGAGCACGCGTAGAGCCCACGCCCAGCCACGGGTAGGTCGGATCGTGACGCTCAGCCGCAGCTTAGCCCGGGCCCTATACGTGCTCTTGTTGGTCAGCATTTTTCGTTAATAATTTCAAAACCTTGTCTCACTTTGCATTTTGGCAAAGGAAACTATTTTGTTCAGAAACACTTACTCTCTTCGGCTCTAATACTTTTTCTGAGACACCCTGTATGTAGAAGACACCATTATCTGTTATCATCAGGATCCATCAACTTAAATAGCCCCATCACATGACTGCTGCCTTATCAGCGAGCATTGCGTATTCCGAGCCAAACAAATTTAACAACGATAAGAGGAAAGATGCCTAAGAATATTTACTTAACAAATGAAAAAACAGGCTTAGCAATCTTCACTCAAGAAACTGAACAATATTCTCTAAATCTTCACTTAATAAACTGAAAAACGAGCCTAACAATATTTACTCAATAAATTAAATAATATTCTCTAAATAATTATATTAACAATCGAATAACAACAGTTCAGAATTAATAAATTATTTCAAACGATTAACCTTTAGCGCAACGTTGGGTACGGAGACGTCTGTAAGCAGAGTATGATGGAATTTTTATGAACGTTCAAATCAGAAGAGCAGAGGATGTTTGGACCCTGGCATAAGCGCTGGCAACTTTGTTTATACCATTGGGTGGACAAAGCAGGGATGGTGCAAGAAATCCCTCACGACAATAGTGGGGATTTCTTGCACCATCCCTGGGACAAAGGACCCAAAGAGACTAACCGCGAGGACCAGGGCGCAACCAGGGATCTCAGAATTTATCCCTCGGCCGAAAAGTGGGGACGACGCGACCATGGTGGGGACTGGTACTTGATGAGGATATGCTAGGCATGGTCAGCAATAGCACATGAGAAGAACAGTAGTGGGAATCGAAATACGGGCGAAAAAGAGGGGAAGCGAGCCATGCGGGATCAATTCTGAGATCCCTGGACGTAACCAGGTATCCTGATCTAACCCGCAGAGTAGAACGGATCGCTGTTCACGATTCTAAGTAATGAAGAATATAATTATCGTAAAGAAATTGATCTTTACACATCGCTCATTTGTTCCTCCGCTGCAGAGCCGTCTTCAACATGCTTACGCTCCAAAAATGTGCTGGAGTTGCTGATAGGCAGTGGTACAAAGCAAAGGTTGACAGTTAACATGTGTCTAAGGGTTAATATGTGTATTTTAATTTTTCAATTAATAACGTGATTAAACAATATATTCTGTAAATGTTTATTCATTTTTTTTGTGGTAATATTGTGGAAAATCTCCTCTATCTTTTGGTTAAAAAATGAAGTTCCTCGATGTCTTAATTTTTCTGGAATACCCCATTTTTCCCGAAAATCATGCATTTTTACAAAAATAACGTTTTTTCGGAAACTGTAAGTGATAAAGCAATTCTGTTTCCAGATTCGTGTTTGGCATGAGAAACTCTATGAGAATCACGTAATGGATACTGCGAATTTTTTTTGTGTTGGACAGTGTAATCAATTAAATACGTATTGATAATCCTGTAAACTCAAATAGAGACTATGAATTTCAACACACATCCATACATATTTATGTATAACAATAATACAATAATCCTTGATATGTAGAAGAAATACCCAATACTCGATCACCTACAGTAAATTAATAAGATAAAGTAGATATATTTATTAAAATTCCATACGTTGAACAAAATGTCAATTAAAACTGAAATCATAATTACCAATTGCAACAATGCATGTGCACGTGTATATAAACATACAGAGTTGCTCATTCGTTTTCTTTTTTCATTTAGATATATCGCATAGTATTTATTCTAATTTTATACATCGATAAATTCTCTAATGAAACCAAAATCTCACTTATAAATTACAACACATACGCAATCACACGCATACATATATAAAACGTGTATACTCACTCATTCGTGGAATTTATGTGTCCAATATACGCACGTTGGTTTTAATTACAGTCGTAGTAATTATTTAATCCCACTGAGTAACCGATGCACAAGACAAAGAATTCGTGCTCACAAATGATTTGACAGCGTCACGCGATTCACGCCGAAAATATTTCCGAACTGTTTGAAGAAACCAGAAGAAACGTCGGGACACGCGAACGCTGCATTGATGATGGCGCAGGCTTCGTTCTCACTACTGGAAAATCCATATAGGTACACGGTACACCTACTAGTGGCAGTGGCTCTCCGCACTCACAGAACTGAGACGTCATCAGTGATGCTCATTCAGTTTCTCTAACTGTTTATGTAAAATTCGATTTCAATATGGACTTGCAAGGTTCCTGAATTTCTTTCTCAAGAACTATTGAAGCGATTTTAATGATTTTTTTATATTTTTTAGATACAGTAG